AGATGCGCGGCGCGCGCTGGACGACACTGCCCGCGAGCGCGCCAGGCTGCAGATAGAGCTGGGCAAGTTCAAGGCCGAGCACGACCAACTGCTTCTCAAGTGAGTACTCGCTTGGCCGCCGCGTTAGCACGCGCAGGGGCTGGGGGCGCAGCCCGCGGGGGCCTCGAGAACCCCGGAGAGGGAGATCGAGGCCCAGCGCGCCCACGCCCTTCCGTAGGGGTAGGGTCTCCATCTCCGGGAAGGAGAAAGAATCTAGTGTTTCTTAGTGGGCGCAGGGGTGGCGGAGGGGGCATGAATTGTAGCGATGGTGGGTGGGACTGCATGCACATTTCCTGATCCTGGATTCCGAGCTGGCCCGGGCAATGTGCCCTCCTAGGTGCGGGGAGGTGACGCCCGGGCGCGCGCTCCAATGCGCGCCCCAGGTTCCGGCGGGGCGCGAGACAAAGCGTCTAGTGGGCTTGCAGAGCCGAGGTGGCTAGTCCGCGAGGATTTGCCGCCCGCCTTAAGAATGAATGAGTTTTGAGCTGGGCGGAGGGAGGAAGGGGAGGGACAAGCCTTAAATGTCCCGGTCTCCCGGGGGTGGGTCCTGCCTTGGCGCGCTCAGTCTGGGCCCTGTGACATTTTGTGATCTTTCTGCGCCTGCCTTGAGAGAGGGAGGAGGGGCGGGGTCTGAGCTGCGCGCCACTGCCGGCGCAGGGCCGGTTGGGTTTTCTAGCTCGTTAGCTTTCACCCGGGAAGGATGTCCTTTCTGCGGAGACAGGCGGGGCCCTTAGGTGCTTCCGAGCGCGGGACCGCAAGCTGGGGTTTTGCATGTCGTGGCCTCCATTCTCCGATCCGTGTACCTATTACCCCCCCCCCCCCCCCCCCCCCCCCCCCCCCCCCCAAGGCAGCAGCCCCTTCCCTAGTTTTTGCATCCCCGTAAAATAATGGTCGGTCGGTCTTTCTGGTAATGGTGGAAGACCATGCTCATTCCCCGCGTCTGTCATAGTGATGACAGGCCAGGGCAGGTCAAAGGTGTTGTGTAAATGTGGAGTGTTGTGGCGAGGGAGAGCTTGTAGTTATTCCACCTAAGGCAGCGGTTCTCAACCTGTGGGTCGCGACCCCTTTGGGGGTCGAACGACCCTTTCACAGGGGTCGCCTAAGACCATCGGAAAACACATATATAATTACATATTTTTGTGATTAATCACTATGCTTTAATTATGTTCAATTTGTAACAATGAAAATACATCCTACATATCAGATATTTACATTACGATTCATAACAGTAGCAAAATTACAGTTATGAAGTAGCAACGAAAATAATTTTATGGTTGGGGGTCACCACAACATGAGGAACTGTATTAAAGGGTCGAGGCATTAGGAAAGTTGAGAACCACTGACCTAAGGGGTCTGACTTTCATTCCAGTGCACAAGGGTAAACTTGCAAGCCTTTGCTGATCCTACCTTGACTTTCTGATGAGCAAAATGGCATAATTATCATCATTAAGCAACTTAGTGTTGATGTCAGGCTTTAGAAATTTGTTAAATTTGAGTCCAGAATCCACGATCGCCATCTTCGTTGCCAATTGAAATTTTGCCAAATGAAAATCGATTTTGACTTTGACTCTGCTCCTGGGTATCTTTCTATCTGTATCCGTGTGAATGACTGTCTCAGTCACTGATTTTGTAGGTGTGAATCTGTGCTTCCCCGTTACTAAACATTCATAAGAACGGTTCATAAAAAGGTATGTGCACTTGGTAAAAATAATATATATTTAAAAATACAGGCTGATTTACTGAAAAACTAAAATAGTCTCTTGTATCTTTCCCTGAGGCAATCATGTTTGGCCCTTTTTGTGTCTATTTCTTTTAGTATTTAGTCCCATAACTCAAAAAATAATCATAAGCTGCCCTGGCCTGTGTGGCTAAGTTGGTTGGGCATCATCCATGCACTGAAGTGTTGCCAGTTTGATTCCCTGGTCAGGGCACATGCCGGGTTTCCTGGGGCTGGATTCCCGGAAGGAGCTGGGCAGGAGGCAGCCCATCAATGTTTCACTCACATCAATGTTTCACTCTCACATAGATGTTTCTCTTTCCTCCTCTCCCTTCCTCTCTGTCTAAAAATCAATAAAATCTTTTTTTTTAATCATAAGCTTATATTTCTGTTTCTTGTATTTACCAACCTTTAGAGTCATGTTTTAAAATGAGTCCATTCACTCACACTACTGTCTCCATTTTCCTATAAATTTTTTGTTAATGAATTTCTTCAAATCTTAGATGCTATTGTATGACTCACCATTGTTATGTGTACTACTAAGAAAAAAAAACACATCAGGGCTAGTTATGTAGGAACCATCCTGTTGGATCCATCCTAGTTTCAGAGATGTTAAAATGTAGCACTGATTATATATCTATTACATGCCAGCCACTGTTCTGTGTGTGAAGGATACAAAGATTTAAAAAAAAAAAAAGTTAGTGGAGGATACAAAGATAACACTCCTTGACCCAGTCCCCAAAAGAAACAAAACAAAAAAAAAAACACACCAAAAAGTTACTACCCTTATGTTTCTGAGAGTAGGGGAGATAACCCAGTAAGAAAATAAATATTGCATTTCATTTAATCTGAGGCATTTTGATGCTGATGCTTTTTAAATAATTCCAGAGGGTATCTATCCTTTGAAGGTTTTTCACCCAGTAACAAGACTGCCATCTGGCTGACTAGTTGTAAAATGCTATGTGTAGATTGTGAGATGCTTGCTGGTTTCAATGGGATTAAAGTGGGAAGAATGTGTGTATTAGAATCAGTGAAATAATGCATGTGATTTAATGTTGGATAATAACAGATGCTAGGGGAATAAAAATAAAGCGGGTGAAGCAATAGTGTGGTTAAGAAAGGCCTGTCTGAGGGCTTGACAGTCGAAAATAATCTGAGATGCTGAGTAATGTCCTGGGATTATAGTTTTCTTAAATCTGTACATATATTCCTATTGTCAGGATTAGATGTACAGTAGCATACTCTTATAAGATGGGGCTACGTTCCAAAGCCTCCATTGGATGCCTAAAACTGTGGATAGTGCTGAACCCTTTATATATATTTTTTGAGTTGTTTCCTATAAACATGTACTTATGATAAAGTTCAATAAGTTAGTTAGGCACAGTAAGAGATCAAGAACAATAGCTAATAATAAAATAGAAGAGTTCTAACAACACACTGCAATGAAAGTTATGTGAGTGTGGTCACTCCTTTCAAGGGATCCCTTGCTAAAGTTTCATATAGGCTCAATGCATTCTGGTACAATATCTTGCCATCAATCAGAATGTTTTCTATATTCCATACACAAATTTAATGGCTTTATCATCTCAATTTATTATGCACTGTGGTTGTAACTTTTCTTTCTTTCTTTTTTAATCCTCACCTGAGGATATTTTTCCATTGATTTTTAGAGAGAGTGGAAGAGAGAGGGAGAGACAGAGAGAAATATCAATGTGAGAGAAACACATGGATAGGTTGCTGTTATCATTCAGGTAATTCCTCTGCATTTTCTGAATAGAAGAACAAATTAGGATCTCTCTGATTGAATAGGGTGTGTTGCTGGCCAACTTGTTGGAGGGCCTGCAGTTAAGGTAAGGGGTGCTGAGCAGGACCACATGCAAAGCTGTTCCATGAGTTAATCCCTCTATTTAAGTGTGCCTCACTATCCCCTGTAGTTCCTGTGTTCATGTTCTGTGATAGGTACTTGAATCTACATTTATTCTAGAAATTTGTTGAGATGTCATCTAATGATTCCTTTCCTACTCACTTTGGTGCATCACATACTTCACTGCTGTTTTATTGGGGTTTTCAAGTGGGGAGGCTAATACCTGTGCATAGTAAATCATCTTGGAAATCAGTTAATTTTGAGCAATAATTGAAGTATAATTTGTATGATGAAAAGAAAGAAATG